CAGGCCCTTCTGCAGTCTCTGGACACTGCAGGCCCTTCTGCAGTCTCTGGACACTGCGGAGAGAGCCGGCCCAGCGGCGACCACGCGCGCCGCAGGCCCTTCTGCAGTCTCTGGACACTGCGGAGAGAGCCGGCCCAGCGGCGACCAGGCGCGCCGCAGGCCCTTCTGCAATCTCTGGACACTGCAAGCCCTTCTGCAGTCTCTGGACACTGCGGAGAGAGCCGGCCACTGCAGAGAGAGCCGGCCCAGCGGCGACCACGCGCGCCGCAGGCCCTTCTGCAGTCTCTGGACACTGCGGAGAGAGCCGGCCCAGCGGCGACCACGCGCGCCACAGGCCCTTCTGCAGTCTCTGGACACTGCGGAGAGAGCCGGCCCAGCGGCGACCACGCGCGCCGCAGGCCCTTCTGCAGTCTCTGGACACTGCGGAGAGAGCCGGCACAGCGGCGACCACGCGCGCCGCAGACCCTCATGCAGCCTCTGGACACTGTGGAGAGAGCCGGCCCAGCGGCGACCACGCGCGCCGCAGGCCCTTCTGCAGTCTCTGGACACTGCGGAGAGAGCCGGCCCAGCGGCGACCACGCGCGCCGCAGGCCCTTCTGCAGTCTCTGGACACTGCAGGCCCTTCTGCAGTCTCGTCAGTGATGGAGTGAGTGGTGTGAATGAGTGAGTGAGTGAGTGACGAAGTCTCTGCAGACGCCTGGGAGTGTGAGTGAGTGAGTGAGTGAGTGAGACTGAGTGAGTGAGTGAGTGAGCGAGTGAGTGAGTGAGTGAGTGACTGAGTGAGTGAGTGAGCGAGCGAGCGACCGAGTGAGTGGAGGAGGGAGCGAGGAGGACGGAGGGAAGGAAGGAAGGAAGGAAGGGCGGATGCGGGCGGGATGGCAGCCAACAAAACTAGAACCCCACACAGAGATGTGGGGAAAAAAGGAGTGCCAAATTCCATGGACTTCCACACCATCTGCCAGCGACCAGCGCAGGTCCGCTGCAGCGGGGAGCCCCATGGGGACCTCGTGGGCTCTGGGAGCCGCAGGCGTAGTCAGGGTCCTTGTAGCACTTCTTCTCCCCCTGCGGCGGTGCCGTCGTGCCGCAGCGGTGCCGATGGTGAGTGCCGCAGCGGTGAGTGCCGGGACAAAAGCATCGATCTGGTTCCGGGCCAAGGTTGGTACAAGTATGATGTGTTGATTTCTGTGGTCAAAGCGCGGTGTCCGGGCACCTCATCAAAAATCAGCATACACGAAGAGGCCATCCCTCACGGTGGAACAGTTGTGGATGTTCCAGTTACATCTGGGAGGCGAGTCCGACACGCCGAATAGATGAGTTCATCAAGGCATTTGCTGATCTACCTGGTTTCAAATTGGCCATAAAAAGAATAAGCAAGATCTTTGGACACCAAATGAAACCAAACAACACTGAGTTGGCTGTGCCGAAGCAGCATCACACTGCCCAGGTCCAGTAGCTTGCCACCACTATTCCAAAGACTCCATGTGTGGAGCATCAATGGGCCGATGAACCCCTGAACCATCCCAAAAAATGACATTAAACTACGAAACATGCCAGTCCGGAACGTCACCCAAGTTGTGGCGGAGTGAGCTCAAGAAATGTTTCAACCTCGCTTGAGCTGCAAGAATCTGTGCGTAGTTGTTGTCGCCACCACTCGAGCTGCCGCTTGGTAGTACTTGTTGAGTGTGAACCCCTGTTTCATCTGTGACCCGATGTTCAAATCCTGGAACTCTGGAGCCTGCCAGTTAATTATCGAGCGCCAGCTACGCAGTGACAGGAAGAAAACATATTCGCCTGCAACAATGAGAAAGTATGGCAGCAACCTCATCAAACATAAGAATAATGGGCCTGGGTAACCCCGATAAAAGCTCCTTCACCCAGAAAGAAATTAGCTGTTCTTTCGTGCATGCTGGACGAAAATAAGACTGGGCGCCTGAGAACAGGCCTACCTCATAATAGTATAGGTATCAACTTACATCATTGGACACTCGTTATCCCAGCTAATAGAACAATCTTGCTGGGAATCTGAAGTGTATGAGCGAACCCAAGGTTGGAGTCTTCTATGATCTTCACCTGCAGTTCGCCGCTTCAGTTCAGCACCAGAAGCTTTGAACTGTCTGGCCAGGACCGCGTTCTGGACAGCGGATCTGTCACATCCCCGTCCCGGATCTGTGTCCGAAGATCTGCTCCCACGCCAGGATCTGTTGGCCTCCTGTACGTCGGTGAAGATCTTGAAGCCCTTCTGGCACTCGACCTGCGCACCCATCTGAACAACGTGAACAAGTTGAGTTTCTGGTGGGTTCAGTGTGATTCTGGGCCGACTCTGCCCTGTAGCTTGTTGCATCCACTGAGGATGTGAACATCTGTGAACCGTGTCGAGTTTTAGATGTGAGTTTGTGCTCAGCCCATTGGGTTTCAAAGCCATTCCTTTCCTCATGAAGCGACCAAAAGGTCCACCTGGTCGAAGAGCTTTGGAGCATCCATACAGCAGCATGACCGTGACGTATCATGACGTCTCCGTCTGGACCCTGCGGCATCCCCGGAGTCTTCGAAGAAGCGTGCTTTTTGGATTTGGAGCTGACCGGCGGATGTTGGTGGTCTGCGTGAACACAGTGTTCACGGACCATCTGGGCGGTCGATATGTATACCAGGGCCCCTGTTTTGTGGTGAATGGACACCCCGAATCTCCTAATCTCTCCGATTCGACACCCCAAACAAAGAGGGGGGCCTCTTTGTTCTCCAGTCACGGCTTTTCAACATGATTGCAACCGCCATGACTGGAGAACCAATGGGGTCGCCGTTTTCTTTCGTCGGCTCCGCGGTCGATCCACACCGGGCCGGCCTTGCAGTCACAGGGCTCGTCGGCTCGGCAGGCCGCGCAGTCCGGACTGGCGGCCGAACGGGCGGATGAACTCCGCGTATTCAGTTGAGTTTGATCGTCAGCTCCTGCACGTTTCACGCTCGCAAAGGGTTCTGGATCCTTGCCATCCTTGAAAAGGGGACGGCTTTCTCAGGCTTCTGCGGAACTGCATGTGCCCCTTTCATGACAACCCCATCAAATGCAACAGCGACATCAAACAAAAACATCTCGTGAGCTGAAGGTTGCAAGAGCTTCGTCAGTTCTTTATGGGCTACAAAGGAATATCATAAATGATTTCCAATTCCAACACTCCACTCCATGTACGAAATACATCGAAGTTGTATTGTATACTATATATAATTAATGTATGGTATGCGTAGAAAGATTCCTGAAACCACCCCAATGTGGGCAAATATGCCAGTCCCATCGATCGTGTCTGGCAATGGTGGAGGGATACCTTTCGATCTCTTCAGCCCAACTCGCCATGTTCAGTGGCCAAACCCCCACATACTGCATACCGGTCGTCTATTCAGTTCGGCCGGGCAACCTGCTTGACCGTCGACCCCTTTAAAAACCATCCCGAATCCCAAACATCCCAAGAGACTGCCCCATTTCACTCATTCTCATTGGTCTGCACGTCTCATATCTTTAAGTGTGGTCTGCACGTCTCATTGGTCGTCCCTGATCCCCCGGACTTAGCGAAGCTCTGGGACCTTGCCGTGAAGCTGTCCGTGCTGAACACAGCCTCGCACTGTGGCGTGGCCTCGACTGGATCGCGACAGGAGTAGGGGCGGCCCTGGTGACACACTGGATCGCGCCCTGGTGACCTGGTGTGTGACATTTGGGCTTTGGGTTCCAAGGTTTGTTTGTACCAGTATATGTTTGTACTGTATACACTGTTGAAACAGCCTCCTGTCCTCAAGCACATTCCAACTCTGCCTCTGTGCCGTCACGGAGGTGAACACCCCGTGACTGGGCGACCTTTGGGCCGTTTCCACCTCTCCGAAAACGTGTTCCGAGTAGCGATGGCCTCCAAGCTAGTAGCCATGGGGGAGCCCCTAGTAGCTTCTTGCTACTAGTAATGCCCTTGTCACTAGAGTAGCTTCTTGCTACTTTGCTCCTTGCTTCTAAAATGGTCACCGTGTTCAAAGGGACCACCGGAGTCACATCTGCGTGAACTCGGCACCGCGGTGCGTTCGATGTCAGTGGGGTGCCTCTTGACTTTAAAGCGACCTCCAAAACCATAGGTTTTTAAATGGGATGCTTTTAATGGGACCATAGGTTTTTTAATGGACCTCCAAAAGCGACCTCCAAAACTTTTTTTAGGGATGCTTTTAATGAAATAGTTTCTCTCACATAAAGATTTGTGCACAGACCCTTTGAAATGTTGAGAAAGTGACTTGACAGCTGACTCAAAAACAAGGAGAGGCCTACGGGCTTTATGCGGTCTGCTTACTGGCTGGCTCTGCTTGATGGCAGTGATTGTACCCACATCCAGTCCTTCGCACACAGGAACCAGTGGGGCACTGCGAACCCCATACTTGCCTCTCGGGCTGTGAGGGTACCAAGTCCTTCAAACCTTTGGTAGTTTCACCATGTCTTTCAACATATCTCGCACCTCCTTCTCCTGGCACACGGGCGCTTCCTGAACGAGGCCACCGCAACCCCCGCCCACCCCAGCGGACGTGGCAGCCTCTCGCCCGCCGACGACGGCGACGTCCACCGTCTGAACCCGTCTGACGGTCTCCGCTTCGGTGAAGCGAAGGGTAAAGACCAAAGGCGGTGCCCGCTTCGGTGACGAAAACGACATGTATGTTTACCAATGATGCCAATCTTGACGAACCGAAGTCTCGCACGAAGCGAGAGAAACCGAAACCAGGACCATGTGATATCATGCGATCATCCCGTGAAACCGAACTTCCACTGTAGGGTTGAAACTTGATGTTCAGAATGTTGTCACCACAATGGCGAACTCAATCACTGGGGTCTCAACCTACGGCGACCCCAATCACTTGTTGTCAGCAACCATGTCCATTGCTGCCTATATAGCGAAAATACAAACAAATTGGACTGTAGGTCGTTGGGACCCATCCCGATGCATCGGACTGTAGTGGTCCACCAGTTGAAGAGACTTCCCCCACTGCAAGAAGGTTTTCTCCCAAGTAGCTTGGATACATCTCTTCCCAACACAATGGATCTCCACTTGTACACCTGATACCTAGGTCTTCACGGTGGTCTGTCGACGTCGCTCTGCCTCAAAGTCCAAGGCGTCGACCGTGCAGCTGCGGTCGCCCTCGGAACCGCCACCTCAAACGGGCCGCGGTTCGGGTGCAAACCAAAGGAGGGGCGTCGGATTGAAACAGAACAGCTGTTTAATGCTTTTTAATTGAAACATGGACTCAGCAAGAGCGAGTTTGGTTTTGGTTGAGAGAAACACGCGTACAAAGAAGTTGAACACTGCATGGGCGACAGGGAGACTGATAGATGAGCAGCCAGCTTTGGACCCCCGGGAAGGTAGCTTCAGTGGATGAAGAAGCAAACACTGCTTAAAAGGGTCGTTGGAAAAACAAACTCTTGGGAATCCCTGGCTGAATGATGGGGACGACTAAAAGCGTCCCATCTTCCTGTACCGGAGTCACATGCAAATGGGTTGATAGAAGGGTATCTCTCTGAAATCATCATGGAAGTGGATGGAATCACCGGCTGGTGTGTTTTTTGGTATTTCTTTCGGGGCCATGCCAATCCACGCAAGTCACGTCTATTTGCAGGGAGTGTAACTTGTTTGAAGGCGTCATGCGCCACAAGAACAAGGGGTTGATCGGGTTGATAAGCACCCCACAAAGAGAAACACACATATGCATGTGTATATATATACCTTGAGTCTCCAAAGACCGCTTTTTTCTGCGTTTTTGAGTCTAATATTTTTGCGCTTTTGCTGGAAAAACGCGTTTTCAGAGATGAGGATTCAAAAAAAGGTACAGAGTGAATCTTCATCCGGACACGTCCGGTGCGGACGCTTAAAGACGCCTTTTGGACGCAAAAAGACGCGTTTTGGACGCCAAAAAAGGTCTCAGGACACTGTGTAAGGAGGATCTGACAGGGCACAAACAAAAAAGGACCATTTCGTGACACATGCAACAAAAAGTGCTTTCTTTTCAAAAACCTCTTTTTCTTGGAAAGGCGAATTTAAAAGGGTCATTGGAGACTCAAGGTATATATATACAAATGATATATGCGGTTGACCAACGACTCAATTGAAAGCAATGCCCCAGGAGTATGTTTCAGTTTCTCTGCACGCTTGCCAGTTGAGGAATTTGAGAAGCTCTTTTTGCCACGGCCTATCCTACTGCTAAAGGAACTACGTTCAGAATAAACAATCATATAATAATCAATCATATGATATCATATGATATTACCAATCATATATACTCATATGTTCACTCACACATTGAACAACTTGCGCCTGAACCAAAACAGGTGCAACTTTCTGAAAACCAAAGTGGCATGTAGAACCCAAACCTTTTACCGTTAAATGTTGCTTGTTATTTCTGAGCCAACCAACAAAATGACTTCCAAAACAAGTTACACTCCCTGAAATAATCATGGAAGTGGAAAGTGGCCCATGGGATGACCATGTTCCTCTACAAACCAATCAGATGGTTTTCCATTTCCATGTTTGTTGGACTGGAGGGAGTGTAAACACCCAACTCCCATTTCCAGGTGTGGTGGAGGGATTTCGAGGTTGAAGTACTTTCGAAGGAGGTAGCTTCAAGCCTAAGGCAGGCCCGCACGTGAAACACACCTGAAATGAATCATTGAGTGAACTGAATGGCCAAAGCATCCAAAGCCGCTAGACTCTTTGGAACACCTTGCAGCCCCCGGCCGACGCGTTCAAAGCCATCCATGCACTTCACCTGAGCCAAACGGAACGTCGTTGTTCCCCCTCGCACCAGGGGACACCAAACAATAAAGAACCTGTCTCAGTACCAGAAAGAGGTTTGTTTGCTGAAAACACATGGTGAAGAGGTTTGTGTTCCTTTCCAAAGGGCAAATACACGTTACTAGGCACTAACATGGAAGTTGAACTAGAGGAAAATGGTCATCCAAGAACCACTTTTTTCACTTCCATGATTATTTCAGGAAGTGTATGTATTATCACTATATCCAGACTCGGTCCCCCTTTCGCTTGGCGTCGATTTGAGAAGGCCATTGCACTTTCTTCATTATTTGGACTGGTTGCAAAACATGATGTAGGAAAGCATTGCAACTAGCAGCGATGCACTTGTTACTACTAGCGATTCCCTTGTCACTAGTAGCATTGCAACAAGTACTCATGAATCTGATGACACAATTGACGACTGAAACTCCTTCAGCGGACTAATAAATTGACTGGAGGTTCCTCCATGTTCTCCGTTGGTGGATCATCTCATCTCCGTTCCCGCCATCGAGTTGTCTTCAAATGAAGGACCCCACCAGCAATGATCGCAATGCAAGTCTTGCGATATAATGCTTTTTGGTGGTATGGCTGGCCGTCTGGGATTTCTTGACTGATCCATGGTTTGCACCTCAAGGTAGTGGTGCTTGCGAAGCAACTGGGAGCAAGCTCCAAACACGTATAAGAACGGCTGGTCCATCCTTTGGCAGAAAACCAAACGTCCATCAGAATGGCCCATCCTCAGGTGACGCCCCGGAGCTGTGCATCCGTCCATCTGATCCTCGCGTCCGTGAGTTCTATGAGCCTGAATTGATAGACCTTGAGGAGCCTGGCCAGGCTGGCTGCTGGAGGTGCCCAACGAGGCTTGAGGGTACCTCAACCCCGCCGGCCACCGGCGATGCCGCTGCAGCGGCGCGATGCCGCTGGCATGGCAAGCCACATGTGGTTCAAGTCATGCCACGCTGGCTCGGCAAGCAACCTAAAAACAGAACAATGCGGCTGCAGTGCTCTCCACCATCCAAACACGCCCGTCTGCTAATAGTAGACTACAGCACCGTCTGCTAGACATTGCTAGACCACCATGCTGGTGACATGAGGAGCCTCACCTCCGTCCGCCTCCCTCCAAAAGAAGGTAGACCGCCGCTAAAATGGGGACCGAGCAAGGTCCGCAAGGTCTCAAAAGGGCGGACCCGTCTGTCCTTTCAACTGCCTCACCCAGTTCTTCACGAAGAACTTCACCCCAAGCTGCTCAAAACACAGTACCTCTCCCAACACCAAGCACAAGTCCAGGACCAATCCAGCACCTTGCATTCAAAAAAAAATGAAAAAACGGAAAAAACATCGCCCCACCTTGCAGTCGCATGTTTGCCCCGCGATGCAGTTGTCACAGTCCTTCAAGTCCAGATGATCACCCACGAGGTTCTTCGGCACCTCGAGGAGGTTTCTTCCGCGCTTCGAGCGCTTCGCGGGTTGGAGGAAACCGTTGAACGGAGATCCTGTGGCAACAACATATTGCAACATACCACTGTTTCAAAATGTTTCAATTGTTTTGGTTCCAAACAACTATATAGTCGAATGAGAGCTCGATACCGAAAGGGCACAGAGATACAGTACAACAGTAGAACCACATAGTCTAGTCATCCAGTCACCTTCACGTGTGGATTTTACCGATATCTACCAGAATTTCGATCACTAAGAGGTGACTTGATTGCTGGGGATGTCCCATCTTCTATTGTAGGTCATGAAGCAAATATATCAAATACAACATTGGCCAGGACTAGGGCCGTTTGGCAGCACTTGTTGTGTATGTTTATTTAGAGATTCTGATGAGTTTCTGACAGTAACCTTTGGTCTCTCATCCAAATATCAGATTGATAGCTCCTGCACTCACTCTTGTGAAAAATGGTCAGTCTGTCATGAGTCATGGGATTCGTTACCAAATAAGCACATTCTCTCTGGGCACCCCCCCGGAGACACTCCGAACGAATGGTCTATGAACCCTTCTGTTGAAGCACCAACACCTAGCCGCTCGCGGTATCACTGCATAATATCTTCCACCTGTCACCTCTCCAACTACTCATGTCAAGAAGCTACTAGAAACAAATGGCATCGCTACTAGGAGCAAGAAGCTACTAGTAGCTCCTGGCATCGCTATTAGTAGCAAAGGGCATCGCTACTAGGAGCAAGAAGCTGAATAACAAGAAGCTACTAGAAAACAGGGCATCGGTACTAGGAGCAAGGACGCTACTGGCATCGCTATTAGTAGCAACGCTACTAGTAGCTCCTGGCCATACTACTGATAACAAGAAAGCTACTAGAAACAATTGGCATCGCTACTAGGAGCAAGGACGCTACTAGTAGCTCCTGGCATCGCTATTAGCAAGGACGCTATTAGTAGCATTGCTCCTACTAGCGATGCCCTTGTTCCTAGTAGTTTCTGGTCACTAGTTACTACAAGTAGTAGTAATGCCAGGAGCTACGTTCGTAGCGTCCTTGTTCCTCGTAGCGATTGGGAAGCTGCTCCCACGACGGTCGAGTCGCACAGCGGGGCTGACAGTCGGGCATCTCCTGGAGTCGTTCGTCGCACAGCGAGTGGCTCCGGATGAGTTCTGAACGGATGGGTCAGCATGCCCCTGGTCTGTTTCTTTTTAACCAGACAGTAAGTAACCTCAACCTGAGACCTCAACTTGAGTCGTTTGCTTGCCTATACAAACTCAACTAGCAAACTCTGACAAAAACTAAGTCACCAAACGCCCCCACCCAAAAAACATTGACTGCCATGCCGGGTAGAGTTTGAGAGGGGAGTGTTCATGACACGTAAGCAAAGCATCTAAGAAGACTACACTTTGCTTCGAATCATTAGATTCAGGTCAAGAACCAACCCATTAACGACCGACCACGGACGGTGTAGGTTTGCTGAAGCAATGGGTTGTCAGATGGACATTTCCCGCAACGCAATGGAAAGCTGCAAGAGATATGGAGGTCGTCAAACGGTGGATGGTGGAACACTGAGCCTCTCATTTTAAGACCACCGTGTTGTTTGTGTATACACAAACATATTCTCCAAACCTAACAGTGAATGATCTGATGAAAAAGGGTAAGTTTAAACGAACATTGTAATATAGTCATAATACATCAATCATTTCGCAAAGGCACGTTGTGAGCAGTAAAATTAGTAAAAGTTTTCTTTTGGCATGAGTTGATGACATCATGCTGTAAATTCCGTTCGAGGGAAATTCAGTCTATACAACAACAAGGCTTGCAAGGCACAAGCTGCACAAATGCAAGGACCCCCCCAACCAAAAGGGAACACCAAAACAAACAAAATGTTTCCACAACTACTCTGGGGCCTGGAGTCCCCTTTTAAGTTTTGTGTAGTTCTTTCTGTTCTTTTTGCTGTCCTCTTTTGTTGTTTTTAGTTTTGGATTTGCATGTTCCGTTTTTCCTTGCTTGGGACTTAACCGTCTTAACAAAAGCACTATTCAAACCCAACAGAAACAATCGAATATGAACACAACATAGCATGTTCATTCCAATATATGTTGAATCCTTCTTTTGATGGATTGTTCGCCGTTCGCATATATTTATAATATATTGTATGCATGTTGAATTGTTCCATTTAAAAGACGCCTTGATTAATCAATTTACAGTATAGACAATGATACTGGCATTAAAATATTGGATGAATCCCACACGGGCATGGTTTTTTTTCCGCCCTGTTTGGGTTCTATTTCCACCTTGTCACGCATGGTTTTTTTTTGAACCCTGTGCAGGGTTCTTTTTCCACCCTGTGCAGGGTTCCTTTTCCACCCTGTGCAGGGTTCCTTTTCCACCCTGTGCAGGGTTCCTTTTCCACACTGCGCAGGCACCCTGTGCAGGGTTCTCCCTGTGCAGGGTTCCTTTTCCACCCTGTGCAGGATTCCTTTTCAGGGTTCCTTTTCCACTCTGTGCAGGGATCCTTTTCCACCCTGTGCAGGGTTCTTTTTCCACC